AGCGAGCCACGATGACGACGCAGTTGATAGCCTTGATGAGTGCGCTGCCCGCTGCAACTCAGGCAACGGCGTGCTCCTTGCCAAACAACCAGCATCACTAAACAATCAAGCGAATGATCCTCAAACTTCTTTATCTCAACTTTCCAATTAAAATTTCCCGTAGAACGCGAACGCGACATGAGTGATACGCGAGGAAAGATCAGCTCGAAATCGAATGATACATATCGTATTATCTTTTTCGGTTTCAACGGACTGAATTATACAACGTTACATTAAATCGGAATAAATTACAATTAATTTACAATTAATTACTTTGAAACATAACATTAATCTTACATTAACCCTTTCGATTTTTCGGCGCGCTACTCACGAAAAAAAGTGAAAAAATTATCACATAATACAATTGGAAAATATAATTTAATAATGTAATTTCGTATGGAAAGTTTCAAAACACGGGTATATACTATAGTAACCGATCGTACATAACGAGCATCAATCGTTGGGTGACTATAGTCACCGCTCGTAGCGAAAAGATTAATAATATTCTTTTATTTTATATTTATTCGAAAGATCGTTTTGGAATCCTTGCGTTAAATTCTTTACGCAATTTCACGTTGATTCGAAACTTCAATTTTAATTGGTTTTTAGTTTTAGCTTAACTTCACCAGGATTTATATGATTATCTTGCGATTTTCTAAATACAGAGTTGTAATCGGCTAATTGTTTCACAAGGCGACATTTAATTTATTTACCTTTAACTTGTGAACGCGATTATATTTTTGAAATCAAAACGATATTTAGCGATAGAATAAAAATAGAAGATGATAACTTTTGAAATAACTTGCAGTTTTTTTTTTTCTCTTTGTGACTCTTGTACAAAATCATGTCACATTCTTAACTCATTAAAGACCAATGTTGCGCCATGGTACAATTAATTTTTCAATCAGTTCTCAATATTAAATTCACGTTGCAATTATGAAATGAAATTCCAAAGATGTTGCATAGCTTCTTTGTTTAATTATTTACTTTTAGAAAGTTGACTCCAATTTAAATCCTATCAGGAAGAATATAAAATACAAAATACAAAACTTTAGTAATCTAACATAAATTACTACATTTATAACCTGATATTTGGCTTGATTGACAAAAGAGTTATTTTATCTACAATAATTATAATTTTTTTTTTTTTTGAAGTATTTTTCGTTATTCTGTTAGGTCTATAGTTAAAGAATTATGACAGCAACGCTTCCGGATAAATTCAGTAAAAAGATCATTTTTTGTTCTATAATGCACGAATGGCATGTATAGTTGTGAATGAAGTTTTAAGGTCTGATGTAAAGATAAAGAGTTAGAGGGAAAAGTTGTTTAAAAAATTTTACAACACATTAAAAAATCATCGAAATCGGAGGGGAAATATTTTTTCTACAACTTCATCTAAAAACAAGAACATTTTCTTTAATCTCTTACTAAATCCAATTATTTGCCATATGTTTAACATGTATTTTAGTTTTGCAGCATGAATTCAGAAAAAGTATAACTACAATTCGAATATTATTTTTACGTACATATGTGTATATAAATAAATTAATTGATCCAACTGGATAATTCAGTTCTGCAACCATCAATTGTTTATCTTGTGTTTTGGTTACAAGAACATTTTTGTAATAAAAAATTAAAATTAAAATTAAAAATTTTTTTTTATAAAAGACTAAAAGAGTGACTTAACTTTTTCTGTGTTTTATTCTTTTCCTCAGACTATAGTATAAACTGTAAAAAATTATTTTGTAAAAATTGGATAAAGGAAAATTTAAAAAAAAAGTCTATGTTATCGCTCGTTAAATATCTATTGCGTGAAAATTCGATATGACGAAACTCTTCATGATTCCAAGATTTCTTTTCTTTCCTCGAGTTATCGAGGTTCGACTGTATAAACACATACGTATGCATACATACGTGTGACCAATAATCTGTCAATATCGCCATGATATTCGAATATTAATTAAATTATGTATATCGTGAATTTAAATTTCTAATACAAAAGTGAAAAATAGGAGAAGCTGCATTGTTTGGAAAATCAAGTTCGAGAACTTGTGAAAAACGAAGAACAAAATTGTTCCATCCGTAGTCTTGTTTCTGAAAGAAAACATCGAATTTTGAAAATTTCGAAAATTTGTCAAGTGCATACGTGTACTAATTACATATTATTTTTGACCGAACACGTTCAAATTCTACTTTTCTTTCAAAACAAGATGATTAAATGAAAAAATTTATTGTAGATTTTTTTTGTTTGTTTTAATACTCTCTTATCAATTTTTTACTTCTGCCTATATATTTGAAAATTAGGTAAATTCGCGTATATCGAATTTTTAAATTCAATTTCCTTGCTAGTGAAACGTCCAATTTTATTTAGCCTTGTTTTTCCATCTTATTTTCTATATCATAAAATCTTTTCGACTTCGCGAATTTTACATGTACACATCTTTTTGACATTTGTTAGGACAACTCACAAAAAAATATACCAACATATATACGTTACTAACCTAAGAAAACCTTATTAATGTTATCTTTGCTTACATAATACAACTCCTACAATATCGTTATTAATTTTGAATTATTAGTAATGTATCATGATTATATTTCTAATTTCTTATAAAAAAGTATTAAATATAGAATATTACCTTTTTTTTTAGTGTTGTATGTAACTTAAGCTAAAAACTTGTCGAACAAAATCAGTCTTATTTTATTATTTGATTTGAAACAGGACTTCAGCACACAGACGTCACAGTGAATTTCAACAATTAATATTTTTTTGTATAAACTACACGCACAATACCGCTTCGAATTGTGTATAATAATGTTAAAAATAACATAAAAATATCTTTACAGTATGCACAGTGTAAAGTCTCCAGACTATGTGACATAAGGATGCATTGCACTTGAGATTTATGCTGTTATCTTGTCTATGATTGTATAATACTACTTACAGCATTATTCATGTTGATTTGTAAAGTGTTATATAAAGTTTTTGTTTGTAAGAGAATCCATTTTTTTAATTATTATAAATTAGTATTAATTCGACAATGTTATTTGCAACAGTTGAAAAATCACTGTAACAAATATGCGAAACGAAATATATGTGACTACGTGAGTTTGTACTAATCATCTTGCTTGATATTTGCTACATGAAATGTTATTTATTTATGTCTTTAGATTATCATCTAATAATAATTTTTTAACTGCAATACAGTTTAATTTTGGAGGAAACACATTCTCGTGACAAATCTATTTTAAGTTCAAAGTAATACGTATTATTGTAGAGACGGAAATCTCTATGTAAATGCTTGATAACGATCACGAATTTTACAAATTATCGTTAATGATAAATAAGATGTTATTACGTTTAAATGAACGATTCAAAATCTTTCATAATTTTTCTAAACTATATTTCATTTGAAAGATCGCATTGCGCCTAATTGTGCCAAAAATTGAAATTATGTCATGTTACATACATAATAATTATTTAATTAGACCTTTTGTATGCAGATAACACAAAATGCGTGTTTTTTTTTGTATCTGACGATTATTTATTTGAACGTGAACGTTTAAAACTACACGCGTTTCACTTACCTCGTGAACGTCAAGTACACGCGACAGCGTCTTGAATATTCCACGCGGTCGAAAGGAAACAATTCACGTCCCAGTCGGTATTATCGCATATCACAATTCCTTTTCTACTATTGATTCCACTAGCTCATGATCGTTTTACGATTTGCATACTATATGTATGTTCTATATCGTACTGACGTACACACGCGCACGTACGTATTTAAAACACCATAAATCTAGAAGAAATTTTTTCGAAGAGAAGACACGAGGAATTGACACTGATTAGAATACAGATGTTGAGCACGACGGAATCGTTGAAATATACACTTGTATATATTATTAGCGAATAACACTGTGAACGAACGGTCGATAGACGTTCACGTGGAAACACGTCGGATTAACGACAAATTTTACAAAACAACTAGCACCACGATCGAGGTACTACTGAATACTGCTGAGTACAGACAATCGCGCGCATGCGTTCACATTTCCTTCAAGTTTTATACGCAGCGGGAAATACGAAATATATGTATTTATCAATTAATAATAATTTTCATATATCGTATCTACAAACATTATAATGAACGCACAATATGGTAATTGTAAAAAAAAAAGAAAAATATATTGTATACATCGCTGAGAAAATTTATATTAATGGTATGTTACTTTCTAGTTAGTGCCACCTATGTATAATCAATTAATGATTATACATATAAATGAAACTAATAATAAACAGATAGCAATAATCTATATGTGTGTATGTGTGTGCAATGTTTGTATTCCTTGATATACGGATATGATCAATTACAAGATATTAAGACATATATATAAAAAGGGATTACATAGTTTATCAAAATGAAAATAAGTCATACAGTAAAACGTGTTTGTTCGAATATGTAAAATATAGGTGCTTGAATAAATTATTAAATATTATAATATATCAAAGTGAATATAATTTAATATAAATTGAAGGTAGAGATAAGTACGATGCGTGAATGTAACGTAAAGCACATGATCAAACTGAAAAGTTCTAAATAAATATATATATATATATATATAGAGCAGGACGTCGCTTATTCTACTTTCTTTTCGTTGTTGTGCAGTTATTATGCCATAAAAAATTTGTTATAACTATCATATAGCTAATTGAAAAAAATTTAATATACTACAGATTCTTTACACTTATATCGATTGACAATGTTATTTTTTTTTTATGTGAATTATTAACGAATTAGATTCTAAAATGAACTCGTACATTTAGGAAAAGCTTCAGTAAGTATTCGCTACAACATAAATAATCTCTTACTAAAGTAGTCAAGTATCAAAATATCAGTATATACAAAGTGTCCCATTTTAATCTACCCATACAATTTCCACAACTATTTATTATTTGGAAAAAAAAAAAAAAAAAATTGTTCTTTGGGGATATTTTATGATGATTACCAGATTTTTATCCAAATGGAAAGATTTGCGAGGTTTCAAGGTGATCTCCACTTTCTTGAATAGAATGCATTATAAAAAAAATATGCATTAATCGATGCAGCATATTCTCTAATCTAAAAGTATTATTAACTTATGTCGAAAAATCTCAAACATTTTTTCGAATAACGAATATTTGCGGAAATAGTTGCGTGGATGAATTAAAATAAGACACTCTGTATCGCCTTAAAATTAAATACTGCAATAATAAATATAAATATTTCGTTACGAAAACGATCGAATTTTAAAAACTAGATTTTTAAGATAGGTATACTATCTTAATGATTTTAACATATTTACATAGCAATGTACACCTATTACATAGTTTGTACACAAACTAGAAAGAATGATGTGATGTATTGTTCATTACGTTTATAATTTTTTTTTTTCGTTATTTGTTAACCTAGTGCATCATTTTATGAAGTTTCAAAATTTTTCCTAAGCGTTGTTTAGCCGTTTTCATGCCTTTCTTTGGTTTTCGTTCTGAAAATTAAATAACATAAAATAACATAAAACATGCAAATGATTTTAATCAAATACCAAAGGAAAAATATACTAAAATTGGAAATATATTACCAACTGGAACTGGAGCGGCTAGTTTTGCTTTAACATCTTTGAGTCTGTTAGGACTAGTTAATATCGAACCGAAACCGATGCTAGTTTTTGTAGTATTTTCCGAAGATGTGGTCGATGTACCAGTTGCTGAAGTTACAGATGAATTCTTTTGCTTCTTTTTATTATATGTCCGCTTAGTTGTACTCTATTACGTTATACAAAATAGAGATAAATTAGTTTTAGATATCGTTCAATAAAAAGAAAGATAAAATAATCATAAGGAGTCCATTTTGCAAACAAACGCTTAGTAAAATAAATTATAATAGCCGCGCACCATAGAATTATATGTACAACATATATTAATTAATATTATCAATACTATGACAATATAATAAAACACAATAATATTAAATCATTCTAGATACATGCAGCACATGTAATGAAACGAAAAATGAAACTGTAATATGCCTACCAATTTCTTCTTGGAGCCCTTATCCATGTTGTTATCCAGATAATCGTCCTATGCGATATGAGTATGCAAGAAAGAAATAATCATGGAAATACAAATGAATGTAAACATAGAATCGTACATAAAATGATAAATGAGTTAATTTGTGTTATAGAAAGGAGTTTATATTGAGTTAAATCTATTGAGTTAAGAATTAATGTGATTATTAATTAATTTGACAATCAGTATAATAATAATGATGATGATGATGATGATGATGATAATGACATCATTAAAAAGAGAAAAAAAAAACAAATTTTTACATACTGATTGTTTTGCACGTTTTGCTGCCGCTGCTTCGAGTCCTTTTTCAACAGATGTTTTCTTGACACCTTCTCGAGCTGGACGGTTCGTTTTTGGCAAAAGAGGTCCTACTCTAGCTTTTGGATTCCATGCCTCGTCTATTTGACTTTTCGCTTTAGGCTTAAAAATATAATCTTCGTCGTCCGAAGCGTCTAAAGCCGGATAAACTATATCGAAAATATATGTTATAATTATAATTATTAAGATAAACGTATGTGTACGAAGGGAATAATAGAAACTTCTTATAATTTCACATACTAAAATCATCATCTTGATGAACTTTATCAATGTTTTCTATCGATTGATCGTCATCCTCACTAGTGTGAACTTTAGTAATTTTCGTAGATTTCGATGTACTATTTGATGTAGTTGAGTAACATTGTTCACTGAAGGATAACATCCCAGCAATCGCTTCCCGGGTCGATGGAGATGCCCTACCAGAACTGGTTGTTTTCAATTTATAAATACTAGGACACCAAAAACGTAAAACAACAGTGCTATGCTATTAAAAAATACACACGCGCGCACACATTCATACATACATGCCCACAACAGACCTTTTCTTTCGAAAGAAAAAAAAGAGAATGCATGTAACAATAAGATGATATTAAACATGCTTTTTATAAGTAAAAACATGCTTTAAATAAATTCGTCAAACATATTAACTTTTAATATTATCTTACCCAGTAGGTGGTGGCATAGGTTGACTATATTGTGGTATCATTGGAGTCCTATAATCGTATAAACGTTTGTTAAAAGATGAAAATACTTCGATCCGTTAAACGATTAATACCTACGTTACATCTAATCTTTGAGCACCATTTCCCAAAGTATAAGCCGAAGCTTTCAGTAATTCTTCGATACCATTTTTTGGTACATCATTTAAAACATCTACATCCCCATCGTAATCGCGTTTTAATCGCTTTTGCGCGCTAGTTTTCGGCGTTCTCTTTCGTTTTGGTGATTCGTCAATAGTGAATCGACCATAGTCGCTCTCACTACTGCCGTCATGAAAATCATATATAGACGTTTGTTTCCAGGTTAATTCTTTTGACGCCCCAAGAGGATGGTCGGAAGTTAAATTATTATATGTATTTATGTCATCATGTGTACTCCTGACGACCTCGTTATTGCCAAGCTTGAATCTAATTACGGTTGCACTTTGTTTTCCCGGTTTCGACGATCGTTTGTTATTAACAGGAGAAGTATTTTTTTCTTCCAACGTTGGACTTTGAGTTTTGACGTAAGGATACATAATGGGTTTCGGTAATGTGAGTTTTAACGGTGGTCTGCCAGATGACGGTGATTCTGCGATTGTAGAATTCGCTTTATTTGTTTCTTTTAACGTTGCTTTAAACGGATTATCAGCCATTCTATCGGCGACATCATAATCTACAAAATCTTTATTTAATGGTTTCTTTTTCTTGCGTTTACTTTCTCGCTCTGGTTTCGGAGGATTTAAAGATATTAAATATCGTTCGGCATGTCGAATTTCCTTACTGAAATCTTTTAATAATTTCTGACTATTTATGGTTTCCGGTATTTGACTTCTACTAGTCATATTATACTAAAATATAAATCATTTAAAAACATTCGTGCAATGTATTAATGTATAATCTAAACGATAGAATAATTTTACCACCGAAGAAGTGAGCTTACATCCTTATCTGTGTTCCACTGTTTCAGAATACTGAGTAACGCTTTAACACCCTGCAAAAGATATGCTGGACATTTCTTTCCTTCGTTATTCAATTCTTTCAATTCTTTCAATAACTTCTTTGCAGCAAACCAATTGATTGTCTCAAAGCCAGGATATTGAAATTTGGCAGGAGTCTTCATTTTTTTTTCTAATTCGTATATTCTATAACGTTTAAAGATTAAATAAAACAATTGAAATGATCTTTCAGTCAATGATCACTATCAGTCGTTTGTGTACTCACTGTATTTGCATCGGAATGTTAAGACTATGTACAAAATTTCCACCAAAAACTAAAGAATCAACTGGAGTCAGTACAGCGTGTATCCATCCTGTTGGAATCATCATGGTCTGACCTTGTTTTATAACGCATTTGTAACACGCGTCGGCTTGATCTCCAAAGAAAGTTTCACTCTGTGTTGAACTACACATCCAATGCTGATACAGTTGTAAATTTGCAGGCGTAGGCCTAATTAGATAAAACACTTTTTCTCCACGCAGCACGTGATACCACACAGATGTACCACCGAAATCAATGTGAAAATCTGTGAAACTGTCTTTGACGCCCATTAGACAATACTTTTGTACTTCAGGGCGTTTTATGTCATTGTCCTCGGGCCAATCACGCGGCCAAACAGAATTAACCCAGTCAAGTTTACGCGCGATGTATGGTGCCTCGATCATTGGTGAAAGACTGCAACGTTTATTTGTCAATTTATATATGACTTATATATATATATATATACATATATATTAGTTACATATATTATATATACACATTAGTTTAAAGTCAATATGTGGCAAGGCAATTAATATTGATATACCCAGTGTTTGTAAATTCAAGACTAATCACATTAAGAACCCTTGTTCTGCAAGGGGAATTGTAATATTCGACAAAGTCTCTTAACTTCATTCTGATATTACTTTGTCTTGTAACATCGATTACATCCATATCACGATCTCCGCCTGAAAGAAAATCACAGCTCCATGTGACAAATTTTTCATACATAACATTAACATACATGTTCGTACGTGCAAAGGATTTGTACCTATGTAACTTTCTATGTCATAAACACTGAAGTTTGGTGGTGGAACGGTCATGTCAAGTCCATCTTTTCCGTCAATTATAATAGGATTTTCAAAACCATTTGCTTGTAAATGCTGCAGAGTCAATTGTTGTCCTCTCACGTATTTAACAACTTCGTCGGCTTTTGGAAAATGTCTAGATTTTAATTCTCTTATAAATACTGGCGTGCCAGTTTGAACTGGCTTTGTGTCTGCATCAGGTTCAGAATAATCATGTCTATGCCAATTCAATCTTGCTTTCACTGTAATAAACAATTGTCATTCGAATAATACAAAACTGTAGATCATGTAAATATGTAGTATTGGAAGAAAGTGCAGTTTCTATATACTTACTGAGCGACGGTCCGCACATTGCTTCACAACGCGGACAATGGTATTTGTCGAGATCTATGGACATATACTCTTTTATAGAAACACATCTGTAAAGAGAAAAAGTATGAAAATTACTTCAAATACTACAAACATGTTTTATTGCGTGTATCAAATAATTATAAAATCTATTACGTGACTGTACAATTTTCTTTTGCGTCAAAAAGTAACGCATCGTTAGGATAGGTTATGTAAGTATCAACAAAACCTAATTCTTTTGCTGTAAAAGCTGTTTTATAACTATTACTTTTGTGTAAAGTCTTGCGGCAGGGAAATTATGGTAAAATGGTCGAATTGCTTGATGATTTCTTGCAGAACAGGGGCGGAAACACGTTTATATTCAGTTTTCGAGAGTATAAGTTTGCCACGGTGTTTGGACTGTTATTTCTAATTGTCAGAATTTCGAACACTTACCCTCCATGATACCACTCTTTACAAACGTCACATTGTATCATAAATTGTTCGAAATCGTAAGAACGGCCACATAAACAGTATGTAACTGGTAACTCCATTTTCCGTGAATATTAACGCGAAATCGCTAAATACACTTTCACGATTCTGTGTCGTTAACATTGGATGGTAACTATAGTAGCCGTGATGCGTCGCTGAAGAGCCGCCCTGTCATCTTTCTTCGAATACACATGCAAGACGCGTTTCCATTCCTTCCTTATGGAGGTTCAATGAAAACGGTACCTTAATCGAAAACAAAGTGTGAGTACACACGCATACAACACGCATGCTCTTCTTCTCACGCGCCAAAGTTTTTCCATGAAAATTGATCGTAATATCAGTTTATTTTGAGATTAGTTGTGGAAAATGTGTCCTTTGATGATTTGAAGTTCGGAATTGAATTTCACAAGACACGAGAATGAGAACGACGCAAACGAAAAAATTAAAGATAAAAATTTTAAAAACTAGTGTGAAACGAACTAAAGCGTGAGTAAACGTCGACCGATTAGAATGCCTCTTAATAATTTTATCTGTTGCGTTTATGACTAAAGTATTCGCAGTTTTCCCAAAACGCGTATTGTCTCGTCTGAGTCACATTTCAAATTTAGGAAATTGCCGCGATATAAGGCACGAAACAAGCTTGTCCAGGAAAAAAGAAAGTCATTCCTTAAATGTTCAAATATGAGCTCTTTGAACAGAAGTAGAAGTGCTCTAGAAAACAATCCAGTACCTGAAGATTCGTTGAACAGAAAACAATTGCTTTTGCAGTGCAATTTAAAACAAAAAGAGAAAAAACCTGCTAATATAAAAGGACCACAACGTAAGGAATTTACACGTTCTTCAAAGACACTGTTTGATCGTGTTCATAAACGGGGATAAATGTCGCATGCTATTTGCAGGTTGAAGATAAAATATGGTATAATATCTATGTTGAAGTACCGAATACCATTATGGAAACGGGTTGCTTAAATTTCAGATTCTATGGATCTTTCCTTCCAGAGTGATGGCTCTGCAGAAGCACGATTAACCACAGACACAAATAAGAAGCACCAAGACATTTCAAAGCAAAAGACCATAGGTGCGCCTGTGATAGTGGAAACTCTGTCAGAAGATTTATCCTTGTTGAGCATACCTGAAGTATTTAAACAAAGAGAACAAACAAGAGCCAAAAACAATGTCTTCGACAGTAGTGAATTACATATGTCGAGTATGAGTGAGGCCTCTGTTATTGTTGCTGAATCGTTAAATTCAAACAGTTCATGCTCATACAATCAAGAAAATGATACTAATGTTGCATCATCATCTAAGAATCGCAAATTACCCAAAGATAAGAAGCAAAGTTACGATTGTGATACACTTACTAGTCCAGGGAAACATTTAGCTTCGATTATAAAAGCAAAAAAACCCAATATATGCGAAGGAAACAGTGGCTCTGATGTTGATAATATACAAGACAATACTTTGAAAATGGAAGCTTCAAGTTGTAAGGAAACTCTTCTCATTAATCAGCAACCAATACGATTTTATTGCCTACAGAACAAAGTAGCTGTCGTTATGTCAAAAGATGCACAATTTTGCTTTACTGGAAAATTAGTCGCGCAAGTGATTTATGGTGCAATAGAAGTTTATGGATACGTTATTACTGCACAGAACAATCCAATGGAAATTTATTCACCCAGAGGATACAGTAACGTTTCGATTAAAGCGAGCGAAAAATTTTCGCAAAATGTCGGGTCAGATATTTGGGTGTTTCTTTCCAAAGAAGGTATTTATCAAAACCAAGAAAACAGATTGGTCGACGAGATCAAACAGATTAAACCTGGCGTGACGATTGTCTTGTTATCCAACTTGGAAAACAAATTGACCAGATTTTTACATGTCTTTTATCCGTTTAAACTATTTCCGGAAATAAAAAATGTACCTTATCATTCTTGGATCGACACCAAAAGGGCTGAGAGAATATTACAATCGAATCTTTATGTTGATAATCACGCGTGTAAAGAAATAATTGTTGATCCACGTGTTGCGCAAGAAGTTGCTGATAAAATATTGACTCGTTGGAATGCGAACGAATGGTCGTGTACTTTAATAGCCGGTGGGAAGAGCGTTGGAAAATCAACTACGATGCGCTACTTGATAAACAGTCTGCTACCTGTTTCAAAAATGGTAGTTCTCTTGGATGTTGATCCAGGACAAACAGAATGCACGCCAGCCGGCTGTATATCGTACAGTTTGATCGAACAACCCTTGATGGGACCAAATTTCACGCATTTAAAGACTCCGGTTTTCCAAGTGTATATCGGAGATGTAAACGTGTCACGATGCATTACACGATATATCGAGAGTATCAAAATGTTAGTTGACAAATTGTCAAGTTGTCCAATTTTGTCACGACTACCTATTGTCATAAACACAATGGGTTTTTCACAAGGTATTGGTTGGGACATTATTTTATTTACAATCAAATTGATTCGACCTTCTTTCGTGGTACAGATTATGTCTGAAAAGCCAAAAAATAATTATATTGGATATTTAAGTAAAGAAGTAGTAAATCAACAGGTAATTGCTACTATTTCCACCAATAGCATTATTCAAATAATAGATGTGACGGAAGAAACGCATTATTTATAGCAAGTATCGTGGTCGACATGTAGCACGAATGTTATGAAATGGAATCAACTGTGCGATCACGAATTATTCGTGGTACGTTCATACGCGGAAAGTAAAAGTGCTCCAGGATATGAAATTTGGAATATGGAACCATATCAACAACGAGAACTTGTAATGATCTCATACCTCAGTGAAATTGTACAAAACTCTGCCGAGTCCGCGTAAGATTGATTAGCATTATATCCGATAATCGTTTTTACGATTCGTACATTTAGAATTGCTGAAACACATGTTAATGATAACTCTAATATGTTTTTTTTTTTAGAACTCGCTATGATTCTTTCTCGTTAAGCATTAACGAAGCTGTACCATATGTGTTAGTATCATTCGTTCACGCGCGTCGAGAATTATCAAATCACTTATTAAACAATTTTGATGTATACAAAATATCTGCACTTACAGAACTCCTTTCGCATCGTTGTGCATTTCAATTCCACAAGCGTCAGTGTCACCGTCACATGTGTTAAACGTAGTAAATGGTAATATAGTAGCATTATGTGGGATTGATCTGAATAATAACGAATTGCAAGCAAATCAAACTATGGCTGGTCCACGTATATTAAACAGATCACCCCTTTGCGCTTGTTATGGATTTGGTAGGCACAACAATATGTATTTCTTTTTCTTTCTGTATGTATCTGATTAAGTTTAAAATTAACGTATGATGTTATTTCACGTATAGGTATTATCAGAGGAATTGATATGGAGCGACAACAGATATTTATAAACACACCATTACCGATTTCTATAATGCGGTATGTAAATTGTTTGATGGGATGTATACCAGTACCTATCACGCTGCTACAGACTAATCAATTAAAAAATATACCTTACACTGGTGGAAATGATGTTTTACCAATGTCTCGAGAGCATCGCAGAGGGTATTTTCGTATGAGGTATCAAAAAGTACAAAATAATGTTTGATGCAATAACAATCTGACTTGAAAAAAGATTGTATGATGTATCATTCATTGATATTTCTATTTTTCAAAAATACACATTTATAATATTGTTTTTCTTATTATTACAAAAAAAAAAGACATAAAACATATATGTTTGAGGTATACGTATAAAACAGTTTGAAAACTAAGACAAAGAAACATATGCGATGTAATTTTAATAGAAAAAATAAAAATGGTAAAAAATACTGTGAAGTATCTTTGTCTTGGTTGTAATAAAATAAAAAATAAACGGAAAAAGATTTGAATGGTATTCTTAAAATATATTCGCTGTATTCTCCTCGTGGATTAAATGGAATCAATTGTGCGAGATCTGTTTACATTTGATTGTTTCGTCTTTGCTCTTTATAACACATGCTATGTTTAAATACTTTTGACTCTTCTTAACATACTATGGTCGATTCGTTTTAGTCGTATTGCACTCAAAAAAGGGACAGAGAGATCTAAAAATGGCAGTTAAAGTTTGGACGCTCCAAGATTTCCCTATTAATTTTTGCCTTTTTGTTGCTGATAAATTCTTCACGTCCGTATAATGGCGCGGAAACCCGAATATTTCTTCGAGTTCAGTTATCCACAAGGAATCAGTTTCGTCTTTCATAAGAATTGGTTTTAAAGCTAATTTGCCTACAAATGTAAAGAAATCATTAATAATATAAAACGTGATTAATGTGATGAATAGTGATGTAACTATTGATTATACAGATATAACTATTGATGTGCAAAAATAAGTGTAACTTTTGAAGATTATGGCTGAAATTTCATCTTTTAACATTATAATTGCGTGATAGTACCACTGTAATGTTAGTATTTGTAATCACTCTACAAAACAATAATTTTTTTACTCTGCATTTAGTATTGAATAATAACTAAACATCTAATTTCATCTGTTTTATTAATTCTTAAATTAGCACTAACTGTCAAGGGTTAAAATATGGAATATAATTTTTAAATATAATTTTTAAAAGCATAAATATATACCTTGCTTTAGCGAGTTTACTTTCGTAGTAACAGTACGAATTTTCTTAACAAGTGAATAACGTTGACAATGCGGCGTAAGTATATCCTGTACATCTTGCTGCTCTTGATTAGGCAACCAGTGTGGTTCTAGCGGTAAATTATGCCAGTATAGCCTCAATCTATGTTGAGGGGAAAAATCAGCCGAGTCTATCGTATCAGGTTCTTGTCCTAAATATCTGTTACAGAATGAAGTTTCAATGTTTTTCAGTAACATTCTGTAAAACCAAACATTCAACTTTGGAAACCTTACTTGTTAATTTCTAATCTATATTCAGTCGGCATCGAAGCGACGTTTTCATAGAACCAAAATAAATGGTGTTTATTATTGATTTTCTTTACTAGATCCAGGATTCGACTATACTCGAAGAAAAGAACACCAGTTCCTTTTGGATCTGAAACAAAAATTATGATGAAAAATCGTAAAATGCGCGTTTTTATTTATCCTCGTTTATAAGTGTTGTGACACATTTTGGTGTAGTCCTTGATTTATCGTCAAAATATCAAAGAAATGATTCATACAAGACTTGAAACATAGTTCTAAGCAAAATTTCACGATATTTTTATCTACGTTCTCAAGAATTTAAAATATTTTTATATGTACAAAAGATCAAACAATATAAAATAAAAAATGGAGACTATAATGGTAATATTTTATTATATAAAATTGATTGATTTAATATTATCATCCTGTAATAATAGCACCGCAATGTTATTTATAATTATTAAATACTCATAAAATTTCATATTTTTCTGAACATAATTGAAGAAATAGAATATGTAAATAAAGATTTGTTTCGCTTACTGAATATTGTAACCAATACTTTGGATATTTTATACATATGTATATATTTGTGCACCCCGTGAATTTGAAATTTCTTATTCGCATATTCATTGTCACAGTATAATAATCATTGTAAACATTATATGTTTCATCTACTGAATGTAATAATAATAAAAATTTCATTCACAAAACAAAGTATCTACTTATTTTACTTTTAAAAATAACTTCCAATTTGGAATAAATATATAATTTCTAACGCTTATAATTTTACTGATTTTTATTTCAATTTTTATATAACACTTGTAAACGAAGATGTACGTATGGTAGTGTATTTCAATATAATTATGCGAACCATGGAGACCAAGTCGCGCTGGATTAGCCAAACTTAGGTCATTGCAGGGTGATCCACCGATCAATAAATCGATAGGAGCTATTTGCTTGATCTTTTCCTTTGTGATGCCCTTCACGTTGCCCAGATGAATGATTTGATCGCCAAAATGTGTAGCACTCACCATTAACGCGTCCGGGTCGATTTCGCTCGCATAATACTTGTCCACAACTATACCTAACTTAAGCAGCACCAGTAAACCTGAAAACAATTGTTATTTTTCTCTAAAAAATCGGTAAACGGCTAGACAACGTGAAGAATTGAAAAGGAGAAAAGACAAGAATTCCACCCAGCACCTGTACTAAGGCCATCGAATAAAGATAGCACACGTATCTTTTTCTTCTCGTGATTACGTTTCACCAACTGTTTCACGTTCGATTTGAAATTCGTACGGAACATGCTTATTATCTTCGCTTTCCAGTTTAGTCGAGGCTTGACAAACGAATCGGCAAATGATTGAGATTTCGCGCAGAGGAAGCACTCCCAAGGATCTTCTCGAAGAACTTGCTCGTACGTCGTTGGGCATAACAGATGTTTCATGCAAGCAGTACAATAGACTCTGGAAAAGAATCGTTTGACAATGTTTGTTCGTATGTTTGAAAAAAGGCAATTACAAAGGAATTTACCTTGGGCAATCTTCTTTATCGCATATGATCATCGTTCCAGAGGCTGCACACACCGTGCAGTAAAACTGATCAACAACGAATCAATCTTGATAATTATTTCGTTTGAATGTAGTAATAGCACATACTAGGTATCCCAAGGTTTAACAGTCAAACTTTGTTAGTATATCGTGGCAGTATAATTAAATAAAATATATGTCATATTAATATAGATTAATTGATTAATACTGCGTTAAAATAATATTTCACATCATTATACATTATTTTAAATTCTATTAAACTTGAATTGTATTTATAGAAAAGAATTTCAAGAATTTGCTCAATATTTTCTTCGTTTTTCTTCTTTCTAAATCTAATAATATAATATTAATATTAATATTTATCATATGTACTATATTTTATATTCAATATTTAAAACTAAATTATTTTCTATTAACATATTAATATAATAAAACTATTTTTTTGTAATTATGGAACTTTTTTTCTATATCTGATTTATGCAATAAGCACCTGTAATGTAGATATTTATTATTTCAATATATTCCATCTAACTTGGCAAAGGTCAAGGATCTTAATCTGTAATAATCCTGTAAATCTTAGGACACCCTATTCTTATATGTTAGCATATTCTAACAGTGATACTTACGCATTTCGAATCATTGCCGAAAAGGAACATACAGGGTTTATAGTGATCCTGAAACAATAGGATTTTGAAGCATAAATAATTAGCCAAAGTATTACAACATCGCGGTGATGTTATCGATGTACATATTACCAATGCCACCATACCGAACATTCTCTGCATAGAGATCCCTCGAAGAATGGATGAATGTCCATTTTACCTTTATGAACTTTCAAACACCTTAGACATAACGATTTGAAAGTGATGTTTCCGTTCGTCGCCAAACGTAAATCATCTAGACAGAAAGAAATGTTTATATTTTATATTTCATAATGTTTTATATTAAATAATTCAACTCTTTCAATTTTGAAACAAATTATTCTTGTTCTAAGAATTTTGATCATTTGAATGTAGAACGGACTGAGAATTATTTACGTAAAGATCTTGAGACATTGTATTTAATCGCGCAATTTCAACTTAAAGCCAAATGCTTTATTTATACTAATGTTCAAACTTGAATGTATTCAATTCATACAAAAATCGTGCGAGCTTTAAAGGATAGTTACAAAGGGAAAACTTTAATCTTCAACATCGTTGTAGGCATAGCCACAAAAACAATGTTTTCAATGTTTTCAGAGATGTTTGAATTTCAAAAAATTTTTTTGAACAAAAATACTTCCTCATTTGCTGTATGATGTAAAAGCTCAAGAGTAAACCTTCAAAATGAAACGAATATGGATTATTAAACGATATTTGTAGAATTTTTTTTAATTATTATGTAAAATATAGTTTTATAATAGTTATTGTACGATTTTGTCGGTTGAACTTACCACTGTTCTTTATGACATCTGTCCGTTCATTGTCAACATCTGTATCCTTCTTCAACTCGATTAATTTCTCAGCTATGCAAGTTGAATATTTATCGTATATTTTGACGGAGTCCTTCTTTTTCGTAGCATCATACGATGCTTGGCAGTTTTTCTCTTTTGAAAAATATTTCAGCGCATCGTCTAGAGTCCAGCTTTTGGTTTCGAGTCCTAGACGGGAGCAATAATCCTAAGGAAAAAAAAAAAAAAAAAGAGAGAAAAAAAAAGAAAATGGCTCGATGGAATCTCGTGGCTTACAACAGGTTTGAAATGGCGCAGATAAATACTTTGGACGCTTGAAGAACTCCGACCAGATACATATGCTTCTTCGTGTTATGTATGTAGTCGCGCATTTTTTCAATTCCCTTGTCGAATCTCATAAATGACTGATGATAAACCTGTCGTGTAATGAAAATCGAATTGAAAAAGTCGTATCGCGATACTATATATATATATATAAAATTATATAATATATTATATATATATTATTATTATATAATATATTATATAATATAT